CACATCGGACCCTGAAGAAATACAAAAGATCATTAGAGACTACTATCTACACTTGTATGGAAATAAACTTGAAAACCTTAAGGAAATGGAGGACTTTCTGACATCACATAATCTGCCTAGTTTGAAATAAGAAGAAATTGAGACCCTAAATAGACCAATAACAATCAAGGAAATTGACTACTTAATAAGAAAACTACCTACAAAAAAAGTCCTGGACCACATGGCTTTACAGGACAATTCTACAAGACATTTAAGGAGAAACTGGTACCAATCCTGCTGAAGGTATTCCAGGTGATTGAGAAAGATGGAACTCTCCCCAAATCATTTTATGAAGCTAACATCACATTGATATCCAAGCCAGGTAAAGACCAAACAAAGGAGGAGAACTACAGGCCAATATCTTTGATGAACATAGATGTTAAAATTCTCAACAAGATCCTAGCAAACCGGATTCAACAACACATCTCAAAAATCATCCACCATGACCAAGTAGGCTTCATCCCCATAATGCAAGGCTGGTTCAACATTCATAAAACCACAAATGTAATTAAATACATCAACAGATGTCAAAACAAGAACCATATGAATATATCATTAGATGCAGAAAAAACATTTGATAAAATCCAGCACCCCTTCTTGATAAAAACCCTCGAACATCTAGGCATACAGGAAACATACCTCAAAATAGTAAAAGTCATCTACAAGAAACCCACAGCCAGCATACTCCTAAATGAACAAAAATTGGAACCATTTCCCCTGAAAACTGGAACAAAACAAGGATGCTCACTCTCACCCCTCCTGTTCAATATAGTATTGGAGGTCCTGGCTACAGCAATCAGAGAAGAGAAGGCAATCAGAGGTATCCAAATAGGAAAAGAGGAAGCCAAGTTATCTCTCTTCGTAGATGACATGATCATGTACCTTGAAAACCCAAGAGAATCTGTCAAAAACCTTCTTACACTGATAAAGGACTTTGGCAAAGTCTGAGGATATAAAATAAATGTACAAAAGATAATCGCATTTCTTTACACCAATAATAAACAAACAGAAACCCAAATGAAAAACACAATTCCATTCACAATAGCCACAAAAAAATGAAATGCCTTGGCGTCTTCCTAACCAGAGACATGAAAGACCTTTATAATGAATTACAAAACACTGCTCAAAAAAAATCAAAGATGACACAAATAAGTGGAAAAATATCCCATGCTCATGGATTGGAAGAATCAACATTGTGAAGATGTCCATCTTACCTAAGGCAATCTACAAATTCAATGCAATACCCATCAAATTACCAGCATTCTTCTCAGACCTAGAAGAAACAATACAGGAATTCATATGGATACACAAGCGACCCAAAAGAGCCAGAACAATCCTCAGCAAAAACAACAACAACAACAACAACAACAACAACAAAAACAAAGCAGGCGGTATCACATTACCAGACTTCAAACTTTACAATAAAGCTACAATAATCCAAACAGCTTGTATTGGTACAAAAGCAGGCATATAGACCAATGGAATAGAATTGAGTTTCCAGAAGCTAAACCTCAATTTCTCAACCAACTCATCTTTGACAAAGCCTTCATCACCTACCACTGGGGAGAGGAGAACCTATTCAGTAAATGGTGCTGGGAAAACTGGCTGACCACATGCAGAAGACTCAAACAAGACCCCTATCTGTCCCCATACACAAAAATTAACTCTAAATGGTTCAGACACCTAAATGTAAAACCACAAACCATAAGATCCTTAGAAAATGAAGGACATACCCTTATGGAAATTGTAACTGGCATCCAATTTCTGAACAAAACCTGAAACCCAGAGGTCATAAGAGAGCAGATAGACAAGTGGGACCTCATTAAACTGAGAAGCTTCTGCAAAGCTAAAGAAACTATCAAGAGAGCAGGGAGACAGCCCACAGACTGGGAAAAAGTGTTTGCCAACTCCAGGTCCAACAAAGGCTTAACATCTTGGATCTCCAAGAAACTCAAATAGACTGAAAAGAAAAAAAAATTATACAGTGGACAAAGGATATGAACAGACACTTCTCAAAGGAAGACATCCGAGCAGCCAACAGACACATGAAAAAATGTTCAACCTCACTAATCATCAAGGAGATGCAAATCAAAACCACACTGAGATACCACCTAACTCCAGTCAGAATGGCCATTATCAATAACTCAAAAAATGACAATTGCTGGAGAGGGTGTGGGGAAAATGGAACACTCCTGCACTGTTGGTGGGAGTGTAAACTAGTGCCACCTCCATGGAAAGCAGTGTGGCGATTCCTAAAAGCTCTAAATATTAACCTCCTATACGACCCTGCAATCCCTCTACTGGGAATTACCCTGAAGAAAAAGCAGTCTATGAAAAAGATACCTACACGCAATTGTTCATCGCAGCATTGTTCACAATAGCAAGAACCTGGAAGCAACCATACTGTCCATCAAAAGAGGACTGGAGAATCGCACAAGATGGTGACGGCATAGGTGGATTCATGAGACTCTCTGAACATGAGTTCTCCAAAATACTCTTTCTTTTCTTCCCACAGCCCCCTGCCCATTGCCAGTCGCACTGGTATGAGGCCCGGGGAACTTCGGTCCCACGCAGGGCCAGATATTGCAGTCCCTGGCGGCGGCTGCTCCAATATATGTGACTCCCACCTGCTCAGAAGTCCCAGGTCTCAGCTCCCTCCCTGGCTACAACGTCTTGCCCAGCAGCCAGCACAAAACTGCCAGTCTCCCAGGGAGGCTCTGGGCGCCCACCCCTCAGAGATGCTGGTCCCATTTCTGGCTGAAGTGCCCTGTGAGGGACCCAGGGCCACCACTTGCCCTTTGGAGCTTTGGAGCCCTGGGCCCACCTTGGCTGAGGCACTCAGCATGCAACCTCAAGCTTGTGTAAGGGAGCAGAACCCCAAGCTTGTGTAAGGTGCTGATTGGAGGCTTCCAGCTCCACAGGAGGGAAAGCCCGACCCTCTCCTCCACCCCAGCCTGCTGGTGACACCCCAGATCCAGTGCCCAGCTGTGCAGCTGATCCCACCCAGAGACCCAGACTAGCATCCCTAAAAGTGAAAGTGCAACTTCACCTCCACCATTCTCCAGGCAGATTTGCATCGCCTCGCCCACCTATCAGAGCCTCCACCTCGATTCCCATGGTGACGTCCTTAAACAAGAGACAAAGCCCCTCCCTTACACTGAACAGACTGAGACAACTAAGAGTCACGGACCTCCCAGGCAGCAGTCTAGCTGCCTGCAACAAAAACAAAGGGGAGAGGCTAGAGATCAGAACTTAAGTGACTCTAGCCACTAAGGAAAGATTACAGAACTAGTCTGATCTTTCATTTTGACCTTTGGTTTTATCATTCTGACTGTATATTTTGCTCACTGTTGTTTGCTTTCTAACTTACACTATCTGTTTCATGATCTTATTGGTCTGTCTCTGTGTAGCTACCAGTATTATTTAGGGAATTTTCCTTCTGTGTTTTTTTTTTCTCTTCTCTCCGGCCTTGTGTCTCTTTTTCACCTGTTAGTTGGTATGTATGTCTATTTTCCCTCTCACTCTTCTCTCTTTCTAACTTCCTATTGACCCCTTTTCCTCAATTATTTTCCTCTTTTGTACCTCCTTTTGCTCCAGGGATGAGAGACAAATCTACACAAGTGAAGAAAAACCAAAAGAAGAATATGGGTCTCTCCCAGACACCTGGGAGGGCAGACACTGAGCAAACTGACTTTGGAATGCAAACAATGAAGAGCCCCCAGAATGAAGGGTCTCAAACTACAAACCTAGATATCAAGACATTAATGGAGAGATTAAAAAGAATTGAGACTCAAGAAGAAACTAGAAAAGAGCTGATATCTGAGATAACAGTAATAGAGAATACTGTGAATGAAATAAATAACAAACTGTTTAGCATGGAAAGAAGAATTACCCAAGCAGAAGAAAGAATCTCAGAGCTCAAGGACCAAAATATAGAACTAACCCAAACTCTCAAAAACACAGAAAACAAGCTCAAAAAGACAGAAAAAAACCTTCAAGAGATGAGCGATTACTTCAAGAGACCGAACCTAAGAGTAATTGGCCTTCCTGAGGCAGAAAGAGAGACAGAGACAATATTGGAACAAATCTTCCGTGAGATCATTTAAGAAAACTTCCCTTATCTAATCAATGATGCAAAAATTCAAAAATTCAAATCAAAGGGATTCAGAGAACCCCTGCAAGACAACAAATGAGACCAACTCCTAGACACATAATAATTCGCCTAAACAAAGTAGGCACAAAAGAATAAATCCTAAAGGCAGCAAGAGAAAAAGACCAGATCACCTACCATGGAAAACCAATTAGAATAGCAGCAGATTTATCTACAGAAACCCTGCAGGCTAGGAGAGCTTGGAGCCCTATCTTCAAAGTCCTAAAAGATAAACAATTTCAACCAAGAATAAACTACCCAGCCAGATAAAGCTTCATCAGGGAGGGAGAATTAAAATCTTTCCCAGATATCCAATCCCTAAGAACTTACACTGCCACCAAACCACCTCTACATGAAACACTTAAGAAAGTACTAAACACAGAAGAAAAGGGGAAAAAAAGAACAATGTTCTTCACAAGAGTACATGAAAAATAATAAAATACACATGAACCAAACCAAAAGAAAGACAATAAACAAAGTGAAAGAACAACTCTATAAGAACTCTATGGGAGTGGGTCAGACCCTGGGCCGAGGTGGCCCCACCGGGCACTTGGCCAAGTTTGCGTGCAGCACCCACTGGCTCTCGGGTTACCTGAGCCAGCAGCCACATCAGCGCCACATTATCTGGGCTTCTTCTCTGGCTAGGAAACAGAAAAAGAAGGAAGAAGAGCATCACCCATGCGAGCCATTTGCAGGGAGTTGGCCGGAGCTGGAGGCCGGGCGAGGGCGGGGGCAAGGACAGGCTGGGTGGTGGGCCGTGCTCTGGTGGGTCTGTGGCATGGGCCTTGGCCTAGATTTGGACTTGGGCGGCAGCGCCGGTGAAGATGCTGCAGTCCCTGGCTGGCAGCTCGTGCATGCTCTTGGTGGAGTGGCACCGCTCGGCCTGGTGCTTTGGCTTCCTGGTGCTGGGCTACCTGCTCTACCTGATGTTTGGCGCTGGCACCGTGGTCTTCTCCTCAGTGGAGCTGCCCTACATGGACCTACTGTGCCAGGAGCTGCGCAAGCTGAAACGGCACTTCCTGGAGGAGCATGAGTGCTTTTTGGAGCAGCAGCTCGAGCAGTTCCTGGGCTGCATGCTGGAGGCCAGCAACTATGGCGTGTCGGTGCTCAGCAACACCTCAGGCAACTGGAACTGGGACTTCACCTCTGCACTTTTCTTCCCAGCACCGTGCTGTCCACCACAGGTTATGGCCACACTGTGCCCTTGTCAGATGGGGGTAAGGCCTTTTGCATCATCTACTCAGTCATCGGTGTCCCCTTCACCCTACTGTTCCTGATGGCTGTGGTCCAGTGCATCTCTGTGCATGTCACCTGCAGGTCTGTCCTCTACTTCCACATCTGCTGGGGCTTCTCCAAGCAGGTGGTGGCCATCATCCACATCATGCTTCTTGGGTTTGTCACCGTGTCCTGTTTCTTCTTCATTATGGCAGCTGTCTTCTCTGTCCTAGAGGATGACTGGAACTTTCTCACATCCTTTTATTTTTGTTTTATTTCCCTGAGCGCCATTAGTCTAGGGGATTATGTTCCTGGAGAAGGCTACAATCAAAAATTCAGAGAGCTCTATAAGATTGGTATCACGTGTTACCTGCTACTTGACCTGATTTTCATGCTGGTAGTTCTGGAAACCTTCTGTGAGCTCCATGAGCTGAAGAAATTCCAAAAAATGTTCTATGTGAAGAAGGACAAGGATGAAGATCAAGTGCACATCATAGAGCATGACCAGCTGTCCTTCTCTTCCATCACAGACCAAGCAGCTGGCATGAAAGAGGATCAGAAGCAGAGTGAGCCTTTTGTGGTCACTCCGTCGTCTGCCTGTGCAGATGGCTCTGCAAACCATTAGGTATTAGGCTTTGCCGTGTCAGCCTAGAGTGCCAGGATCAGGGCATGAGGAGAGGGGGCTTGATTATGTTCATTTTTGTCGGAGTGTAAAAGCCAAGGTGATGCCATTTTTAGAAATATCTTCTGTTTATAATATTTTGATAAACAAAAAAATGGAACAAAGGAAGTTTTGACCGAGTATATCTGATATGTGAAGAAATAGAATGTGCACCTATAATTCATATGTGACAAAATTAACTAGACTTTACGTAGGAGAATACCTGAAGCAGTATGCAGCTGTGAATAAAAGTAGATTTTATACTTTTAATTGGGGACTTTGGAGTTTGCATTTAAATCATTTAGCTGATGGCTAAAGAGCAACATTTATATTTAAAAGCAAAGAAAAAGCATAGACATGTGTTTTATAAATAGATTTATGTGTACTGGTTTGCATGTGTCCAGCCAAAATAATTATTTCTGTAGATTCTAAGTTAAACCTACTATTTATAATGCATAGGTAACAATTAACTGCACATATAAAGTATAAATATGTTTATATACTGTACATACGGTGTAGGTCAACAGATCCCAGTGTACTTCTCGAATCAAGATTGTAGATATTTTTTTCTTTTGATTTCTCTTTATACTAAAGAATCCTGAGTTGTTGCAATAAAATAAGGGGGATAATATACATAAGAGTGAATAACTATAATATTCTGCTATAATAAATGTTTCTACCCACTTGTGGTAGAATGGTATCAGATGTCTAAAATGTTGATAACACTTTTTTCAAAGTGGGTGAGTAATAAAGAATAGGATTTGTGAGAAAAAAAAGCACTCTATGATAGGGGCAAACTCTCACATTTCAATAATTAGCCTGAATGTGAATGGACTAAATGCACCACTGAAAAGACATAGAATGGCAAAATGGATAAAACATCACCAGGTAACCATATACTGCCTTCAAGAGACCCATCTCACTAGAAAGGACAAGCACAGACTCAAAGTAAGAGGATGGGAAACAAATTTTCAGGTGAATGGAACACAAAGAAAGGAGGAGTCGTGATCCTAATTTCAGACAAAATACCATTTAAACTATCAAAAATTTAAAAAGATACAGAGAGCCACTACATAATGATAAAAGGTTCACTCCATCAACAAGAAATATCTATCCTAAACACATATGCACCTAACATAGGTGCACCAACTTTATAAAGCAACTCCTAGGAAAACTAAAGAAAGATATTGACTCTAACACCATTATAATTGGGGACTTTAATACCCCACTCACAACCCTAGACAGATCATCAGGACAAAATATCAGCAAGAA